TAAGAAACAACACACACCCTGAGAATAATACCTGCCCAAAATATGAAGGGGAGACAACATGGAAGTAAAATGCCAAGCCTTTAGTATTTCAAAGGATAATGCCAAATAACAATCAGAATGTCACTGCACTGGTGTGAGATGGATTGTCACTCACGGGCAACAAGGCAAGATGCAAAGAAGTGCAGCAAGGTGCATGTTAATTTAAAAGTGACACTGGGAGAGCTGCATGCCTGGTCACCCAAACAGGGCAGAGAGGACACAGCTGGCTGTCCTGATGTGCAGCTGCCTTCTGCTCCTGCCACTGCACTCTGGTCAGCACAGATGGTCAGCAGCTGCTGAGGGCATGGGGGAAGCTCAGGGGAGCACAGTCTGATGCTGCCTTTCCTGCTCTGGAGCTGCAGTTGCTGCTGCAGTTCTCTGCTGTGAGAACTCCATTCCTACCAGCACTCTAACTGGGATTTTTACATAAAACTACCTTCAGTCCTGGGCTCAGCAGTTGCTCACCTTCTCATATCCCACAGTTGTATCCTGCACATACTCAGGTTTAGGCATCTACACTGTTTTAACTTGGCACCCAGGAGCTGCCTGCTCAGAACTACTTTCTCCTGAGATCTCTCCTGGGGCTAATTACCTTTTTACTTCTGTTTGTAGGAAATTAAACAGGAGTTTTATGTGCAGATAAAAGAGCAGTCCCAAACATGCTGTTCCCTCTGTCTCCTGGGGTGTCTGAACTGGCACCTGGCATGAGTTGACTCATAGTGATGTGTCAGGAAGAGGATGGGAAAAGCAGAACAGCACACTGGGAAATAAAGACTCTCTAAGCTCATTTTTAGACAGCATTTACATCCTGACAAACCAAACAGGACAGCACAGAACATGGAGAGTTCTGCACAGTTCTGCTGCAAATCAAACATCTGCACAGACATTTAGGCTCTGCTGAGGTGATGGCACCAAACCCAGCCTGCTGGTGACACCTGGGCCAAAGCTGAGGATCAGATGGATGGGTGCAGTGAGGAATGACAGGGATGAAGCAGTTTGTGTCACCTGCATGTAGTCCTGCTGCCACTCTGATGGTCTAACTGTGTTGTCCTAATCCAGATATTGATGGATTAGAAACTAGGAAACTGTGTTTAGGAGTGCCCTTTATGTTACAAAGTCATGGACTCACATATTAGAAAGTGGCAGATACACAGTACTCTGATCCAACATAATTTTCCCCCTTTTTGCAGGCTTCCTGTTCACTGAATTAGGCAGCAATACTGCATTGCATAAATGTGGGCATATGAGGTAAAATTCAGGTTGCACAAGCCATCTGTATATAGTTCTCATTTTTGAGTCTTGTCTCTTCAGTTTAACTTCCTTTCTTTTAAAATAGATATTGAAATTTTTGGGAAGGTGATATAATGTAGATGTGTTTGATTTTATTGGGGGAAAAAAACCCACCTCCTGCAGCACTTCAAGCAAGTGTTGACCATAATCCCTCACAGCACAGAACACAGAACTGTGCCTCTCACTTTGCTTACTGGGTTATTATATCCTAAGGCCATTTGTCATTGAGGAAAATATATTGTGTTTACTTTACATCCTTAAATACTTTATAGAAAAGAATTTCTTAATATATAGTTCATTTAAAAAGTGAAGTGTCTACATAATTTCTATACCAACTCAAGAGCAGATTTCAGGACTTCACTGATCTATGGAATTTGCCCCATGCACCTCTTACCAGTTATAGAAATTATCATACAAAATACAGAAGAAAAAGCAAAACCAAAGCTTCTCTATTTGCTTTTTATATGATCCTGGAAAGTAAAGACTTCGAGAGCTCAGCAAGTTAGGATGACAACCTGCCTGGAAGTATCCTAGTAGAAATGCTTGGAGGATTTGATGAAAGGAAGTTTGGGGGACAGACCTAAATCTGGGCTATTGATGTACAAGAATCTGCATAGTGCAAGAGCTGCTATTTAGAGATTGTGTGCCTGTGCATTAAATGGTTTAGGGACATGTAGCATCCTGCTTTGTTCTACCTCTCAGTGCAGTGGTACATGTTCACCAAAAGAACAGCACTTTTCTCTCTTGAGAAAGGGCATTTCTAAACTTGGAAAAACTACTGAACCAAAAGTAGATACTGGCATCTACCCGGGAAGTTGTGGGTGACTCTCTCACTGTGTAAAGCCTGAATTTGGGTGGTGGCTTGTTTGCCTTTTGTATTATGCAACACCATTTAAATTTTGTTGGTTTCTCCCTCCAAAATAAGTATTTCCTAAGACAGAAAAAAGAAAAAAAAAAGGTGATATCTTGAAGTTTCTGTATGGTTTCCAGACCGTAGATCAGTGTAAGTGGAAAGCAGACACATTTTGGAACTGAAAAGGTGTTTGTGGGAAGTCAAGGATGTGAAGAGTAAAGAAGTGGCTGGGAAAGGATTGACATTTAGAGATACCATGATGAGGAGAAGGTTGGGTTACAGCTAAACTAAGCTGCATCTAACACAAAGAAAAAAAATCAGAATTAAACTGAGGTTAGCAAATCCTGACCTGACCTTAGCTCTTCATAATTTATGCAGTATTTCCATCCTGAAGATAATTAATTGTTTAGTGTTGTTTTGCCTTGTTTCAATGGAGGTGTCCTTGATAATTACTAGAAGTTAATCAAGCAATTCAAGCTAATGAGAGCCTAAAACTTGTATTATATAAGTAGAAAACAGGGAGAGATTTTTCATAATAAATAATTTTCTATTTGAGCACCACTGGTGAAGTATGTCCAACAAAAATATCCAACAAAAATATCCTAGAAGGAAGCAGTAGTGCAGAGCAGGCCAGGATGGAACTTTACACAGGTAATTTATGGTTACAGTACCTTCCCTTCTAGTCCTGTCTCCTGCTCACAGGAAAAGGAAAAAGTAAACGAGTTTGTCAGTGCCTTTCACCACTGTGAAACTGTTTTTGCTTAAATATTGCCTATAATTAATACTGCAAAATCCACAGAACAGGAAATGTTAAAAGTCTTCATTGGCAATATAATAAATCAATATCAATGGAATTTGACAAGTGTATTTGACAAGTACTGGTGCAGGTTTTACACTGCAAATTCATTAGGTTCTGAAAATAAAAAAAAAATAAAAAAAGGAGGCTTTTTGGTAACTACCTATTGTTGATATGTGCAATGCTTACACATGAAAACCCAGCAGAAAGTAAGAGAAGTGTTTATCTAATCAACTGTAATATGTTTGGGACATTACATAACCACCATACTACATTGCTAGAGGGTATTTTTACTATTTTAGTTATCTAAGCTTGTAGCTTAGAAATTTTTATAACTATTTCTTGAAAGTTCAGTAGGTGACAGTGGTGTATCCTGATTGTTGTCATTATCAGGCACAGAAATATTTTTGCTAAAACTCTAAAAGGGCTGGAAAATATGTTTGTAAGTTCATGTAAAGATGACATTAAACTATTTAAAAGGGCAAAAAGCTTTCTTCTTCGCTGGGTGTTTTTTTTTTGGTTTATAATGGGAGCACTGGCTGGATCTTTCCATCTGCTGTGCTGGCTGTTACTGCAGATGGTCATAATCTGTACATATGGCATGTGCATATATAAACTGAAATCAGGGTTGTCTTGGTGTAAAAGCAGGCACACAACAGGAGCTTGGGTGCCTAACACAACAGTGTTGGAGAAGGGGATAATTTAGAGCATTTTGATTTTCTATGGGATATTTACAGGGAATTAGGGAAAGTATTTCCTCTCCACTGAAAAAAGAAGCAAAAAAATATATATCAGCTCTTCTGTGTTAAATTTTGGATCTGCAATTTATTTGGAATCAGGTGTTGGCTTCAACTGCATCTTGAATTTGTGTTAGGTTTTGGGTTAAATGAGGACAACACCAAACTCTCATAAACTTCACAGTCAGCCTAGTTTTGGAGTCCCTGTTTCTAACTCAGAGCTGGAGAAGGGCTTTTCTCATTAGAAAATGGCCTTCCAGTAAGCAGATAATAAAATAAAAGTCTTCAGAAATTAAATGGTCTTTAGATCTGAAGATTCTGTTTAAATCAATCTCACTACCATTAAATAGTTGCTGAAACACATAATAATCAAACAAGTAGCAAAAGCCTCCTCATCAAAAGCAGAACTTTCTGGTGAATCACCAGGCAGTGAAGCTGCTCTGCACCTCTGCTGCCCAGTTAGCAGTGCTGAAAACTTCCTGTTGAATATTGGCTCATGAGCCAAGTTTAAAAAATTGTTGTCATAAAGTTTTACACTTCTCATAGATACTCTGGAAAATTAGGAAAAAAACTCCAGTACTTTTGTGGTGTGCAGAAAAACTCTAAAAGCAGCTCAAAATTGTGCTTACAAAACATTTAGCAACAAGTGAAAAGAAGTAATACTGGGAAAGTAAGACATGAAGAATTTATCAGATATACAATCAAATGTATTTTTAACATTTCCTCTAACTTTACTAATACCTTCTGTATATTTGCAACTTTTGCTCATTCATCAGACAAGTCAATTATCAGCACAGATAAAGTCATGACTCTTATTCCTTTTTTCCCTCCTTTCTTAACATCTCCTCCAATGTTCTCTTTACTAACATTTCTGCCTTTCTTGTAGTAGGAAAAGGCTTCATAGATTCAGCTACAACACTAGAAAATGAAAGTATAGTGACTTTAAAAGGGCTGCTGTCACTCTAATACAACTTTATAAAGTGCTTTATCTTTCTCTCTCATTGCAGGTTTGTTTTGTGAATTTAGATGCCAACAGAGATGATTGCAGTGATGAGCGAGTGAAACAGGTAACTGCTGAGGTCCTAAAAACATGCACAATGGATCTATTCAGACCCACCAGTAAAAATACAGATTAAAATTCTATTAACAAATCAAAGCCAACCCTAGGTTGTTAAGTGTTACAGAGAGCAATGCATAAGGAATCTGAAATTGTCTCAGCCCTAGACTATGTTACATAGCATTTCTTATTGCCATCCCAGAAACTTGTAATGGATTGTTGCAGTCTGAATTCACAGCAGTTTATTAATAGATTTCTTGCTTTTATCAGAGAAGTGAACATGGACATATCATACATCCTTTTTTTAAAAAAAAATTGGCATAGTACTACATAAAAAGAGTTTCTGGTGTCCTGCTCTGCCACCAGTTTCTGATTTCTTTCTCTGTCCTACTGCCAAAAAGCCTCTGAAAATCTTCCACTCATCTAGGCCCTGTTCAGCTGAGCTGTCTTACTCAAACTCCACGTAGGTAGATTATGTCCTCTCGAGGAGGGGGGCTAGATAAAACAGAACTAAGGGTGTGTTTGATCTGTTTAACTGAAAGTTACGAGGGTAGGAAAAAGTAAATTTTTAAGAAGCAATAAAAACCTTGGTTATTTTACAAGCACTGAGACAAACTACATCAAAAAACACATACCATTGCAGAAAAAAAACCCTTAATTCTGCAGAAGTCACGTTTTAAAGAAAGGGCCTGGTGTCAGTTTTGTCTTCCTTTATCAGCTCCTTTTCATCATCCCGGCTCAGTGCCCATGTTTGACACACCAGAACAGAAGCAATTGCAGTGAGTGAGCACAGGTAGGATCTCCTGGCAGTACCCAGGGAGTTCCTTGGTTAAACCATTACAGTTCATGTGCTGGAAACACTTCTAGCTCATAGAACAACCAGTACTGGCACCTTGATGCCTCCTGCAAGTCATTTGTTAGCAGGAACAGTTTTTCTGTGCTGTTTTCTGCATCCTGGATCTGTGAAAATTCAGTTTTCAAAAATAAATATGGCATTTTGCAGCAAAATTATCTTTCTATTGAATCAGCAGGTTAACTGTGCAGAACAGCTTGAGAGGTTTACTTTCCTGAAGCCATAGAAGCGCTGGTTGTTTTCTAAAATGCTGTGGTTTTATTGTTGTTTACAATGTTTGTTGAGGAGCAAAAGGTATAAGAGGAAACACCAGAAGTTTCTCCCTCAATCTTAGAACTAGACATCTGTTCTCAGTTTTCAGTGTAGGTAATAAAAATTCCCTGCTAGCACAGGCGCTATGCATTCTTTTCCAAGAGGAAACGCCTTCATCCTTATTTTTGTGTATAATAAGCAGGTTTTGTAAATTAGCATTGAGTGGCCTGGAATTTTGTACAATACACTGGTGTGGTGAAAGTATTTCTTAGAAGAATTTTGAAGATGTTAGCACAGCTGTTGTTCATATGAAATATAAAACTCTTTACTAGCAGGTACTTGATTTACTAATAGGTACTGTTAGGATTTTGTATTACTGATTGAACCTTGGAATGGGTTAAATTGGGGGATTTGTGTAAAATAACTATACTTCCAGACTCCTTTTTTTTCTGAAGAAAAGGTAAAGAAGTGAAGTAAAAGATACATAAAATGCCCTAATTTCCACCTAAGAAGTCTGATAAAATGTGGCAATTTTGGCAGTAGAGAAGGAGATACTTCAGGAAGTGTTTGTGATAACAGAAAGGTTATAATTTGGAAAAAGAAAAAAAATGAGAACTTGTTTATGCTACAGTGAAACATCAAATTGAATTGAAGCACTGAATTCAGTTATGTCAAATAAAAATACTTAGTCTCATCTAAAGATCAGTCCCCTGAAAAGTGAACAGTTTCCCAATATTGATTTAGCTTTTCTAAGCCAGAAAGTTTTATTATATCTAATTCAATCCAAGGAAAAATAACAGTACTGCAAGCTTAATATTTTGAGGATGAAAAGGAAAAAAGTGAAGTATTGTTGCCTTGGTTAGTAACTAAAGCAGAAAGCTGGGTACCCAAATCTGCACTCCCTGAAGGGATGTGGATGTTCTGCACTAACACACGGGCCATGGTGGTGCAGAAAATGGAAATGGTATTTACTCTGCTCCTGCTCTGGGGGGTCAGCCATGGTTCTCTGTTCACAGAACAAGGACACCAAGATCCTTGGCAGAGAGAGCTGCACTCTCAGAGTAGGTGTTGTCTTTTTGGCCTTTGTACACAAAGGAGCAGAGATGTCCCCTGCACGTGCTGGGGACAGTACAGATCTGTATAGCATCACTGATGCTGTGCTGTTACTGCCTTTGCCTCTAACAAATACATAACATGTAGGGAGTGGCTGTATCATTACAAATGGAAGGTCATGAAGGTATGCAGTGTAACAGCAAAGAAAGGCATATTTCATGCATCTCCA